TCCCACAACATTGGGTCTCAGCGACTGATCAAGATCTCAGGTATCTCAGGTACAGAGCTGCCGTTTTAACAGGATTTAATGTTTTTTTTATTTACCCTTCACAAACAAACCAACTTAAAAACAATAATGTTTTACTGTGTGTGATGTAAAAATATATTCTTTGCTTTACAGTTCAAACAAATTCTCAGACATAATTATAATGATTAATATCATAAAATAGAAATAAAAAGCAGGGCTGAAGTTGGAGTAAAAGTGCTGACGGACAAATAACGTAAAAATGATTTAAATTAAAGTAAACAGCTGATTGGTCTCAGATTTGGTTTGTTTACATTTAAATTTTCCGGACAACTTATTAAATCCAGTCTGAAGGACGAAGGCCAAGTCTCAGAAAAATAATAAATAATCCTTCACTTTACAGTCAGATTATAAACGTGTTCATGTTATCACACTGATATTAGCGTCAGAGATGACAGAAAGGAAATAAACGGAAATAATTTCTCACCGTGTTTTATTTCATTGTTTTTAAGACTTTTATCAGAACCACCAGCAGCTCTGAACACTTGCTCCTGTCTACCAAACCAGACCGAATGAGACCAGAAATGTTGGCGCATGCTGAGTCAAAAGATTAGTTGAGCCCTCGCTTCTGGAGGACATAAAGGAAATGCATGATCGCCATTTCAGCTAGAAAGAAAGACAAACAAATACCATGGACCTCACCCTTGAACACTAAAAAGACCACCGGAGGCTGGATGCTGCTCAAGAACAAGGACCCCAAACTCACCTTGCCCAGTGTGCTGACCAGAGCCTTGGTGGCTGTGATGTTTGTCTTTGTGAAATACTAAAACATAAACCCCATCATGGCATATGACTAGATTACAGAGAATTTGGCCTTGTCACTTACTGATGAAAATGTTCACCTGAAACATGAGGCCAATTAAACTTAAATGGACTGCATACCAATGTGATTGACAACAACTTGATATCAAGCCAGGTGACGAGGGACGTTCTGATTAAGAAAGGTTACCATCGACGACATCCCCACTCCAAGACTGGAGGAAGAAGAGCATACCACCTAAGAATTTGTGGGAGGAGAGGTTTGATTGAGGTCAAAGATTAATTGCAATGGCCTGAAGCTGTGTTGCTGAGCAATGAGAAATGTTTTTGAGTATTTACAGCAATTAGCTTAAGAGCTATTAAAATAAATCACTTATTTTTTAATAAAAATTCTAATAAAAAGGATCAGAGCTTGTGAAATGTGAAAACAACTGCTGTGTTTCATTGGTCTGGCTTAGTACCACCATTGAGAAATTGTTTCGAGTTTTTTGACTGACTTACCTAGGAGCTATTGACAAAAATTACTTGGATTGGATCTTGTGAAATGTTTCAAAAACTGCTGTGTCTCATTGGTCTTTATAGTAGCATCATTGAAAAATGGTTTTGGGTATTAAAATCAATTAACCTAAGAGGTATTGTAAGAAATCACATAATTTTTCATGAAAATCCTAATTAAAAATATCAGATCTTGTGAAATGTGATAAAAACGGCTGTGTCTCATTGGTGTAACTTAGTAACATAATTGAGAAATGGTTTTGAGTAGTAAAATCAGTTAACCTAGGAGCTATTGAAAAAAATCCCTTAATTTTGGAGTAAAATCCTAATAAAAAGATCAGATTGTGTGAAATGTGTTAAAATTGTTGTGTCTTGTAAATGTAGTTTAGTAACACAAGTCAGAAGTAATTTTGAGTCATTTAGCAAATTATTCTGGAAGCTTTTAATTTTTTTGTACTCGTTTACAAAGGACTACAAATTTGTTGATAGTCCCTAAGCGAACCACCGTTCCCTATAGCGAGTCCTCGGGATTCAGCTAAACGCTGTCTGTGCCGCAGTGCACGTCATGAAGACTTATCGCTGACCGTGTAAAGTTCTGTCGAACATCCAACGTCCAAATTGAAGCTAACTTCGCCGCGGTCGTGCAATGACAATAAACTTCGACACACACACACACACACACACACACACACACACACACACACACACACACACACACACACACACACACACACACACACACACACACACACATACAGGTATATATAAACATGGTAATAAAACAAGTATAGAACTATATAATGTAAATGTAAACATGTGATGAACTAGTAAAATGTAAAGGTGTTTTAGTGCACTAACTGCCCTGCAAAATCGCTGTTAGTGTGACCTCCTAGCAGCAACATTCAGTTCAGTGATGGCTCTTGCACAAAAGCTGTTTAACAGCTGGTGGTGTGTTTTTTTATTGCCCTCCCTGTACCGTTTGCCAGACAGAAGAAGTTTGAAGAGATAGCACGATGGTATGAGTCTTTTAAGATGTTTGTGGTTTTTCGAAGGCAGCGAGTGGTGAAGATGTCATCCAGGGCATGCAGGTGTGTGTTTGTTATTTTCTCTATAGTATTGATTACGCTCTGCAGGATCTTCCTGTCAGCTGCAGAGCTGCTGCTGTACCACACCATGATGCTGTTGGTCAGGACACTCTGTGGAGCAGTGATAAAACCACATCAGCAGTTTTTGTGGCAGCTTTATCTTCTCGAGAGCAGGGAAGGGAAGCTAGGGTTAGGTCAGACGTGAGTATTTGTGAGCAGCAGGACGGTTTGATGCCAGCAAAGTATACTACAGATGCTTCTTTTGATTTATAGAGGATATGTTATGCCTTTTTTCTTAAGTTATAATATAGTTCTATGGTCGACATAAAACTTGTTTATGAAGGTATTTGCTCAAAATCCCACTCACATGAAGTGATTTCAGCAGTTTTATTGTTGACAGTTTCAGTACCTTCCAGAATGACCTGTTTCTAGACTCTGTCACTTTAAGAAAACAAGCTGGAGCTAGCCACGCCCACCCTTCCCCCGCTCAGGCTGCTATAAGCTTAAAAGCTTAAATGACCGGGAAAGGCACATAGTAGAGTCGCTGCTTTCCCATCAAAAGCTCTTTCTTGCACATGAGAGGTGGTTCTATTCTAATTTCCCCTTTTGTGACATCACAAATGGGGCCTTTTTGAAACAACTTGTTTTAGGCATATAATTCCTAAAATCAAACACTGACAGAAAACTGATGGATGTTTTTTTTCATGTTTGGAGTGTTTATATAGGCAGTAGATACTCACATGGCAGCCCAAAAGGATGCAAAAGGTAAATTTTGCATACTGTGTCCCAGTACAACCAACTATTTCATTCTCTCTTTGAATTAATTTCTTATTTTAAGCGGCTATATATTCAAATATAATTGAGACTTTACAACCTGAAGTATTTCAGTGAGCGCCTTTCAAAGGGTAAAGCAGCTGTCTGTTGTCTCTAGTGCAAAAATGAGGTGCACCATGCAACACAATCATTTTGTCAGGGACTTGCACAAACCAGCCAGAGAAGCACTGCTGATGATGATTCTGAAAACTCCATTTTCTTTCGGAGAAGCTTCAAAATTACATGAATTTAACCTAATCAATGTAAACTAGTCAGAATGACACCAGCACAAGGGACACATTATCCCCTTTTAGACACACCAGGTTCAACTTAAATAGTGGCTGATCAGACCACTCTACAAACAAGAGGGGAACAATTAACATACAATTAACACACACATCCTCACACACACAAACTAACCAGTCTAATCAACTCAGGTAACTCAAATAACTAAATCATAATTACAAACTCCCTATCCATAACAGAAAATATCTACATTAAATTAAACACAAGCATATAAATGAATCTCCCCTCCCTTGGGAGTAGGTAGATCCCAGGAGTTCTGATAAGGCTTCCTGAGGAGATGAGCTGCAGGTGTGAGACTCCATGGGCCACTCCAAGTCACTGGTAACTAAATAGAAGTACAAAATCAGCACATGCATTCATAAGCAGAAGACTGATTGTGTGCACACATCAACTAGTCATCCTGGACAGAACACAGAAAACAAACTTTACCAGAAGACCATATCCCTGAGGTGACAGACACTGCTGTCACACCTCTATTTATCTCATTTTCTAATTTTGCTTTTTTGTAAAACATTTAGAAGAACTATGTCTCTGGGCTGTGTGGTGGCTCAGTTAGCACTCACTCACAGTAAGAAGGTTGCAGGTTCAATACCCCATGCGTTGTTTGCATGTTCTCCCTATGCAAAATTGTCAGGCTAATTGGCTACTCTAAATTGTCAATATGTGTGAGTGAGTGTGCACATTTTTGTCTCTATATGTCTACTTGGGGATTGCTGGAAAAAGGCACCAGCTCCCAGCAATCCTTACAGGAAGCTTTGTTTATAGAAGATCAATGAATGAATGATGTAGATATAAATCTATACATCGTTCTAAATAAGAAGATATAATATTTTTATTCTCTCTTTATTTTTGTATCACAAAATGCTAAATGGTGAAATTGCAACATAATTTAATAGTTTTAAGTATTAGATTTATATTGTTGCTGTACTTAATTTGATTTAGTGAGGAAGATGATCAAAGTTGGCACATCAGAAGAAGAATAAGTAGATCCTGTCACTGGTCCTAACAAAAGGCACCGCTGGGATTCGAACCCAGGATCTCCTGTTTACTAGACAGGCGCTTTAACCAACTAAGCCACGGCGCCATGTGCTTTTGCGATCTTCATAATAGCTTAGAAATATCTAACTAGACCACAGTAACGATCAGTTCTGTAGGAGTCAGAATTAGATCAAATGGTCTTTTAACCATATGAAACTACTGAAACGTAACACCAGACTCAAATTGTGAGTCATCTTTTCTGTGCTCCATAAACCCATCGCTTCCAGTTGATTGACAGTGGGTGTCATCAAATCGATGTCGAGGGCGGGCGTTGCATCGTCTGATCTGACGTGTTTCCGGAGCTCTATACACGCGTGAGGAACTCTGGCGTTTTTCCGTCCAGAAAATCAGATACAGGTAAAACAAACGGAATTCGTTCTTGAAATAATTGGGATTTTTGTATTTGTCGCTGCACTAACATTTTATCTCACTTATAACTCAATTAAACATTGATTGTAGCCAGCGGTGTTAGCCTGAGCTGACTATTTTAGCTGACTTGCTACGTTTTTAGCCTAAAATCGGGTGCTTTTGTATTATCAGCGCACTTTGAGCCATTAGGAAGTCTCTGCAGGTGTCTGACAGCTGGAAGAAAACTACTTTTTGCACCCATTTTTAATTATTCATCTCGGTAAACAGTAAGTGGTTGTTTTCTGCATATTTAATGCAATCCACTGGCAGATGTACTCTTATTACAGATACTATTTGGATTAAATCCTTTTGGGTTCCTCAGATTTAGACAAGTTTGTTGAGACATGTTAGCTTTGTGGCTGTTCTTTGATAATAATCACCACTAATCTGTTTTGTGATTTAAGTTTTTATGAACAAACATGTTTTTGGATAATCAGTCCATTAGTCTGTTTTGTTTGAAGTCGTTTACTTTCTGTTGTTCCAGCTTGTCTTGGATGGCTGAATCAGAGACCATGTCTCTCCCTGTCCAAACTGGCGATAAGAGAGGATGTTCAGAGGATAAAGATGAAGACGTTCCTTCAAAGAAGCCAAAAGTTGAGAGTGATCATGAAAATGGAGGCGCTCCTGATCTAAATGAGGAGGAGCCTGCAGAAGAGGCAAGTGAGGAAGATGACGATGGAGACACCTTTGCTGACATGATGAAGCACGGTCTGACTGAGACGGATGTGGGCATCCTGAAGTACGTTAGTGACCATGAGGGCTTCTCAGGGATCCTGAAAGAGAGGTTTGATTTTCTTCTTCTCATTTGCTCCAAAGTGATTTAAATGTTTGTTCTAGCAGAACATTTCTGTTGCTTTCAGATATTCTGATTTTGTTGTGCATGAAATCAACAAACAAGGCAAGACGGTGCATTTGGATGACCTGTCTATCCCTGTAGACAGTGAGGTAAGAGATGGCAACTCTTTCGTTATAATAGTTTTTATTTATTTACTCTTTATTTAACCAGGAAGGTCCCATTGAGAGTAAAAACTTCATTTTGAAGGGAGTCCTGGCCAAGAGGCAGCAAAAGTTACAGTTACAAATGTTTCAGCTACACAGACATGTTATGTACTAATTACAGAACGCATTTATAACACAGGGAATCCGTCTCAGTGGCTCTCAGTCTGTTTTTAAATGTATTCAAGGAGATAAACTTGGTTAATTTCCACTTTTCCTGCAGCCTGTCCCATGCAGAAAGAGCAGAGTGAACGAAAGCCCTTTTGCTCAGTTTGGTGCGAGCAAACGGAACGCAAAGTAACAATTGATCATTTGCACGAAGACTGTGAGAAGTTTCACTTGTCCTTGAGAAAAGCTTACAGATGTAGGCGTGTGCTAATCCAAGCATGGCATATTAAATGAAGGTGTACCAATGTCCCAAAATCCTGGTGGATAAAGAAGACCGTCCCACTGGAGAATACAATTCACAATGATGGGTCAGTGGTCTACGATTAGTAGTAAACCACATCACTCTTACCAAGACACTGTGCTGAGGCATTCATTTACAAAAGCTCTCCATAATCCAGAAATAGACCGAAATGTTGCAGAAACTAGTCGTTTTTTGCCTCAAAAGAAAAACTGTTTATTAGGCAGTACAAATGAGCTTTTTCAGAGTTCATTATCAGTGTTGCGATAAAACGATGTAAGGCACTTTCAACATTTGTGGGGTTTATTTTTTCTTTATTTTAGCAAGCCTCCGAGACCGAGCAGCTGCCAAAAGAAAGTGACGTGTTGACCGAGGAGCAGAAAAAGCAGCTTGGTGAGCTGCAGCTGTTCAAGAATAAAGAGGGAAACGTCGCCATTGAGGTGTGCTTAAAGGATAAACAAGTGTTAGAGCTTCATAAAAGTTCTCTGTAGTGTTTGTTTTCATTATTTTCCCCATATCCCTAGGTTATGGATGACACAAAAGAAAAACGGACACTTGTTCATAAAGCCATCAAGACTCAGTTTCCAGGTTTGGAAACAAAAACCGAAGAGAAAGACGGGCGAAAGTTCATCGTGGCCTACCATGCTGCTGGCAAGAAGGCTCTCGCAGGTATTGGCACATACATTTTACATTCATAGGTAAACACATGTGGCATGTATTTCCTTTTCATTCATTTAAATCTGTAACACAGGAAGTAGAGCAGACAACTTCTGATGCATGGACTGGTTCATATGCATGGTCATCTCACCAGCATGACTCCCCAGAGATTTACTCCTTGTCCGTGATTATTAAACAACCTTTTTTGTTCAGTGGACTTGTCTTTCAGTTTAGTTATTTAAATGACAGGTCCGTGGGAGCGCAGAAATATAGTAGTAAACATTATATTTGCTGCAGTGAAACCTTTAAATTCAGCCCTCGTGTCCCAGACTCATGCATCACACCTTCACCCCTGCCAGCTTGTCCGAATCTCCTTTTATAGTAACGTTATTCTATCCCTTTTTGCTCTTCTCTTGTGGATAGAAGTCAAAACAACAAAAGGTAAGATCTGATTCCCCATGCAGCACAGAGGAACTTGCTTAAACCCAGACTGAGTTTAGTATCAGCAACGTAATCTGGGTTAAAGCTAAGAGATCAACATTAAATAACCCCCCACAAAAAGGTATATGGAATTTATTTGCAGTTGAATTCAAACGTTTACTGAAAAGCTGGGTAAATGTTTTTGCCACACTGATTAGCTCCTTATTAAAGAAGGTTTTTATTTCACAGCTGCTAATCACACGTTTTTCTGTTGCCACTGAAGCTCCAAGGAAGCATTTTTGGCCCAAAAACCGTGGCAGCTACTGCCACTTTACCCTGTACAAGGAGAACAAAGATACCATGGATGCAATCAATGTGCTCTCCAAGTTCCTCAGGTCTGGATTTGCTGTTATTACTTTTCTTTTGGTTGTAAGTAGTCGTTATTCAATAATAAGAGAACAGAAGAATGGAACAGTAGGATCTTGATTTATTCTGACTTTTGTTTGTAGGCTCAGACCCAACATGTTCTCCTACATGGGAACCAAAGACAAGAGAGCCATCACTGTGCAGGAGATCGCTGTGCTCAAGTGAGTGTAGCAATACAGTCACAACAGGAAATAGTGTTCAGTCTCTACAGGTGAGAGGCTATCTGTGTTTCTGGTCTGTTTCAGACAGTCAGTAAACCACCTACTGTCTGCTCTGTTAACCCTCCCACTGTCCTAATGGGTGTGACCCCGCGAGGAAAGTTGACCATTGAGCAGGGTTGATGGTTTATCCCTTGGGTCCATGTGGCAGGGGTGAGGAGTGAGCACCACCTCACCCCCGCCACGTGGACCTCACCATAAAGACAGTGGGAGGGTTAAAGGTGAGGAACACTGAAAAAAACAATTTTTTAACATTTCTGATTCTAACCAATCACTGAGTCTTTCATGCGGGCTGAACGTGAAATAGTCTCCTACACCTATCTCCTGCGTTAGCTTCTGACAGAAAATAGACGGTGAAACTCTAGAATTTGAAAATCCTGACAAACCTACGTCACACTGTCACTTAACATTCATGGATTCACCCATCTTGAGTCACGATGGGGAAGGCTGTTGTTGGTTTAGCGTCCAGGAATCAGCAGAGTACGTCTCGGCTAGTAGAAGCTAACTGTTAGCATTAGCATTTTCACCACGCAGCAGAACTTCTTCAGGTTTATGGTATCTGTGAATATGAAACCTCAACGTTGCAGTGGTAGAGTTGTGAGTAGGGATGGGTACCTTTGACATTTGAATCGATCCGGTACTAATTCCCGGTACCTACTAATTGATACCGGTACTTAACAGTACCAATTTTCGATACTTTTGAGTGTTTAATATTTTAATTCTCTTTTATAATTAGATATATATTTTTCTCAATATATAACCATATTTGATAAATATCACGATAAATAACATACAACTGTTTGTATTTTAACATCGTCCTTGTAGTTTTATAAGTTGATAATTAAACTGAAGCAAACATCTTTACTGTGAACTAAATTTACTGTGTATCTTCATTCCTTTTGCCGTCTTTTTTCAATTGATTTTTCCTACTGGGAAGTTAGAACTTCCGAGGAGAAAGCGAACGCACCATTAGCTGATAACAATGGTAGCAATGGAAGCTAAGATATCAAGCTAACGTTATCTTAAACAGTTTATTTATCTGCTGGAGCAGATTAAAACGATGATGCCTCACACTTAAATCGTTGTCGCTGGTTTCATCTTCACCCAATCACCCGTCGCATTTAGTAAAGTGAAGCCAAACTTTAGAGCGCGTTCATGTTCTTCTAGTCGGAATTTCGGAGTTCTGAGGAGAAAGCAAACGCACCATTAGTGAAACGGAAGCTAACAAGTCAAGCTAACGTTATCTTAAACATTTTATTTACCTACCGGAGCAGATTAAGATGAGGATGTCTCACTTAGATCGTTGTCGCTGGTTTCATCATTACCCAGTTACCCATCACATTTAGTGAAGTAGACCCAAGCTTTAGTGTGTGTTCTGTCTACCATGCTGCTCTGTTTACAACTCGCTCGCAGCGACCGATGACATAACGCTCTAGCGCATGCGCAGCTGTCTAGGCAAGTTCTCATTGTGAAGGACGGGTACCGAAACGAGGCACTGTTTCAAATGAAGTGAATCGGTGCTCGGTCGGTACTGTGGAATTCGGTCGGTACCTTAAAAAGTACCGAATTCGGTACCCATCCCTAGTTGCGAGATGTCCAAATATCAGGAAAAAAGACGGCCAACCCTGTCGTCTGAAGCTCAACTCCGACGTGGCTCACTACTAGTTCTGGTGTACCAAAGCTTTTTTTTTTCACAGAGTACGACTTACAAGGCATTCATTCCTACTAGAGACCACTGCAAATGTATTTATAACAAGTGTTCCACACCTTTTGTTAATGATCTTGAAAAATATTTTCTCTATTCATTCATTTTCTGAAACTGCTTAGCCTGAGGGGGGCTGTAGCCGGGCGAGAGGCGGGGGACAGCCTGGATAGGAGTTAGTCCATCACAGGGAATTATTATTTCTGGTTTGTTTTTTCAAATAGGATCACAGCTGAGAGGCTGGCTCACCTCAACAAGTGCCTCATGAACCTGAAGCTTGGGAACTTTTGTTACAAAAACCACCCTCTAAAGCTCGGGGAGCTGCAGGGAAACCACTTCACTGTGGTCATCAGGTCAGTGTCCTAAAGCTTTTTCCGCCTTTCAGGAATTATGTACGATTATTTTAGAAGTCTGTAAAAGTGATTGTCTTACCTTGTAATTATTTTATTTTTATTTTATTCTTTATTTAACCAGGAAGGTCCCAATGAGATTAAAAACCTCATTTTGAAGGGAGTCCTGGCCAGCAAGCAGCAAAAGTTACAGTTACAAATGTTTCAGTTACACAGACATGTCATGCACAAAATTACAGAACGCATTTATAACACAGGGAATCCGTCTCAGTGGCTCCCAGTCTGGTTTTAAATGTATTCAAGGAGATAAACTTGGTTAATTTCCAGTTTTCCTGCAGTCTGTCCCATGCAGAAGGAGCAGAGTGAACGAAAGCCCTTTTGCTCAGTTTGGTGCGAGCAAACGGAACACAAAGCAACAATTGATCATTTGCACGCAATGTGAGAAGTTACAGATGTAGGCGGGGAGTAATCCAAGCATGGCCTTATGAATGAAGGTGTACCAATGTCCCAACCTCCTGGTGGACAAAGAAGGCCATCCCACTGGAGAATACAATTCACAGTGATGGGTTAGTGGTCTACAGTTAGTAATAAACCTCAGTGAGGCATGATAAACCACATCACTCTTACCAAGACACTGTACTGAGGCATTCATATACAAAAGTTCTCCATAATCTAGACAGACATGATGCAGAAACTAGACATTTTTTTTGCCTCAAAAGAAAAACAGTTTATTTCCAAAAAAGAAATCCAGTCTGAGTTTGAGTTTCTTCACAAGATTATCTATATGGGGCTTGAAGGAGAGGGAGTCATCCAGCCAGACACCAAGGTGTGGACCACCTCTATGGTATTTCCCTCAAGAGTGGTCACTGAGGGCATACTTAGAGCTCTTTTCTTAGAGTCTGGAAACAACATTAGTTTTGTCTTGTCAGCATTGAGCATAGAGGCCGACCGATATGGTTTTTTTAAGGCAGATGCCGATTTTTTTTTTTAAGAATTATGTCGCCAATTGCCGATATGCAGGCGCGTTGCAAGCTTTTCAAAGGTGTGGGGGATGTTGTCTGCCTAAAATATTTTCATGTTATTCATCTTGTTAGTTTAATTTCCATAATAGCGGAGCAGGTGTGAATTTTAGACGTGTCACGCATGTCTCCGTTTTAAAGATGTTTAAACTGTTCAGAATACAAATCCAGGCTCTGTCTCGTTAGATTGGTGCGACTAAAGTTTGTACTGAATGAAACTTTACATTAAACCATGATGAAAAGAAAAGGATCCGATAAAATCATTTCCCCCTCATTTACAGTCACGGAGTACAGCGCAGTGCGCGTGGCTCTGGGGTTAATCAAGTTTAATTGTTTCTCTTTGCAACAGTCTTCACAAGAAGGTAAAACTGTTAAATGGCAGGTTACAAATATTTCCATTAGACTGTTTATTTTGACGGATAAACTCAAGGATGTTGGTTGTTATGAAAGAATTACCCCGACGCGCACTGATGCACACACAGATGAGCTGACATTTTAATTGTTAACGCACATCGCGTGGGAACTAAATCAATCAAGAAATGATTCCCATCAGAACATCAGAGCTTTATACTGGACACTGTGTTCAGCGCGGCTCGGAGCGTCCACGGTGGACAGTGGGCTGAAGATCTGCAGAGGGGTTTGCAGCGCAGTACAGAACCACGGTGCATGCGATAAGATTTCCTTCCACTGAAGCGGTCTGGAAACCCGGTCTCTCTGAGGGATGTGTCACTTGGAAAAATGTTCTTTTTATGAAATTGTGAAACTTTGGCTGAACAGCGCTTGTTCCCGTCTCTAATATGGAGACGCATGACGCATCCAGTCTGAGGCAGAATAGCCTCCAGCTCAGAAAGCTCCTGTAGAGACATTTGATCACGCACAAAGTTTATGTGGAGCAGAAGCGGTCGGGCCACGGCAGGTGAAATGTTCCTAGCCTACATGAAGTGAAACTGTTTAATTGTAACATTAATATGTTACTGGACACGCTGGTCTGGTTGGGTAGACCAGTGTTTGAAGTGGAAAACACACACACACACACACACACCATTTAAAATTATGCTGATAGTGTGGACTAGAAGACAGGTGATGGTATGATGATCAGGCTGCTGTAAAATGTAATCTCCATCCACATCCAGACACAATTATCCTCTATTCCAGGGGTGTCAAACATGCGGCCCGCGGGCCGAATCCGGCCCGCAAGCGGGTTAAATCCGGCCCGCGAGATGGTTGTGTAAACTTTATTTTCATACTTTACAATGTAGAGTGAAAATAAACGTATCTTTGTGAGCAAGTTTTCTCTGTAATGAGTATAAATAAAACAAAGCTGCGCTCAAGGCTCACACAAGAACTTCAATCACATCCTGAAGCTGGCCGCCGCTCAGGATGTGACTTCTGATATTGATGTGCTGGTGAAAGCTAAAAGATGTAAAGTAAAATGAGTCAAATATATTTGAAGTGCTGCATGAAACTGACCTACCCACGTGATCTGTAAGCTCTTTGAATCACTAAGGAATGTTTTATTTATTTGTTGATTTTTTTTTTTTCAAATTTTCAAGTACACTTCAGGTGTTGTACTATTTTGGATACACTGTCCTCATGCTCCAGCTTTGTTTTATATTGATTGTATTAAAACAAAGAAAACAATCTGAAGTTGTTTTTAATTTACCGGTCCGGCCCACTTGGGACTAGATTTCCCTCGATGTGGCCCCTGAGCTAAAATGAGTTTGACACCCCTGCTCTATTCTATTTGCTCTGCTCTTGTCTGGGCTGACGTAGCTGACGGTGCACGCGGCGCTCCTAGCGGCTGTGATGCACATTTTACATATTTGGAGAGGTGGGCTGGATGCTCTGCTTTTACTGGAAGATGGATTTTTTTTTATTTAATTTTTTTTTTTTTTTTTCAAAAATGTCGGAGATTTTGCCGCATGAATTACCGTAAAAACTACTGGTATGCATGTACCCTTTTGAAAGAGTCCTATGTTGAGAGGTAAATATTAGAAGTGCAGGTTGTGCATTCTGGTGCCTATAAATGAAAAAATGAATGAAAATTAAATTGGGAGTTTTTACTTCATATTTTAGAAATAAAAATGACGGGGAAAAAATTTATGACGTCTTTTTAAACGAAATTTTCTAGCGCGACCTGCCTGCTTCACTTAAGTCACTGCTTATTATGTCCGTCCAAAATTACCGTGGCCCACCCAAAAATGAAAACCTGGTGTCGCGCCTGTTATAAACCTTTGCAAATTGTTGTTCCTCACTTTATCAAACTCAGAGTTTGTACAGCTAATGTCAAGATGTAACATTATGAATTCAGTCGAGCTCTTCCGTCCCTTCCTCTCCTGTTTCTCCTTGAAACCCGACAGCCGATGTCAGGTTTCAAGGAGAAACAGGCGAGGGAGGGGAAGAAGGAGATAAGGCAAACAGAGAGAGAGTGCGAGACACCAGACTGGTGTGGAGGTGAGCAAAACGGCTAGAAAAGTGTGTGTGTTGAATCCCCCACATCCCCCACGGGTGCGACGCCCATGCTGATATGCAAGGCCAGTTTATACACGTTTTAGCAGCACTGTGATTGTGAAAGACAACTGAACGCTCACTGTGTGCAATATAAATTAAATAAGTCAATAAATCTCTGCATATTTCTTAAACTTCAAATATAAAACAAACTCAAAACATTAACAATTTGTAAACTGTTTCAGAGCAATAGAAAATAAAACAGATTCAAGTTTTTTTAAGTGTTTTAAATGCAAATCAAACAGTACCCAGAATAATGGCGCAAACAGTGGCTGCTGGAGGTAGAATCTTCAAGTAAAAAAATCTCAAAGTAATGCACACTACCACATCGTAGTAAACATTTTTATCTAAACTAGACATAAAAAAACAGTGCAAACATTAAACACCAAATTTAAAGGGATACCGTGAATCCTCTAATACAGGCCCGGGCCTGTATTCGACTCAAGCTCATCAAGCTCCAGGCCTTTATTGAAAGGAGGGCCAGTATTAGAGGCAGGCCTATATTTCTATTTGAGCAAAATGAACTAATGGTTCGCTGGAGTTTTTGACAATTAAAATTGCGTCCACATTTTCAAAGTTAAACACATATCTTTTAACAACGGTAGTTTCTGCTTCAGCCCTCTCCCCCCCTCCCCCTGTGCAGCGGCCGCAAAGTCACTGATGCGCCTGCAGCCTCTCAGAGTTCCTGCTGCTCTAAACATTAAAATAATTATTTCATTTTCTGTTCCTCACTTCTGATTACCTTCAATGGTGTCTGTTTGTTGCAACCACCAGGTACAAAAACTAACTTGTTTTTATTTTACTATTTTTCTGTCCTGTCTGTTTATTATCTTCCTGCATCTCCTCTCAATACTAAAAAAACTGCTACCTGGGTTCATATATATTCACCTCATGAGTTACCTTTGAACTGCAGTTCTAAAAGATCTACTGACCGCAAAAACAGGGGAGCGCTTGCTGTTTGGCGGCCGTATCAGTGATCAGTGCGTCGGAGGACAAGGTGATGCGCGCAGCGCCCCGCTCCATAGCATGCAGCGAAACGCATCAGGCGCAAATAAAAGACAGAAAACATTAAAGGAAATGAACTGACATGAACAATCGCGTGTTAAATTAGTTTTTGAGGTGGCGACACCTGATTGTTACTGTGGCCGTGCTCAGGAGGCAGATCTACCGACCGCGAAAACAGCGGAGCGCTCCCTGCTTGGAGGCCGGATCAGTGATCTGTGCATCGGAGGACAAGGTGAAGCGCCCCGCTCCACAGCAGCGATACACATCAGGCGCAAATAAAAGACAGAAAACAACATTAAAGGAAATGAACCGACATGAACGATCGCGTGTCAGTACATACGGTCTGGCACAGCGCGTTGCCCCCCCCCCCCCCCCCCCCCCCCCCCCGAGCGCAGGAGCTTGTCACCTGCTGACAGCAGGCTGCTGTCTTTTCCGAGGGCTGCATCTTGCCGGTCATTATCACGTGACAGCGACTAGTCGACGACAGGCATAAAAAGTCACTATAGTGAAGTCGACTAGTTCATACAACCCCTACTGCTGCTCTCCAGAGTGTTCTGCAGCATAATCAGCACGTTCTCTTTGAACTTGATAGTGTAATGACCTGGCTGGGGTTGTAAGCCAGGTGCATTCTGGGTATTGTGTTATATGTGTTTCCTATCGTTCTGCTAGTTCCTATGTGTTGATTTGCGTGTTGTGTGAGTGTTATGTAAGCCACAGGGAAGGTGATGTGTGTTCTGTGGAGCGGGTTGAATTAGCATGATTAACTGACACCGTGACTCTGTGTGGTAGGAGCGTGATAGATGATCGTGTCTGTAGCGTTACAAAGCGTTGAAGAAAAAGCCTAATAAAGGTCTGTGTGAACCTCTATTGCCTCCTGCTGGTTGATTTGGGGACTATAACCCTGCCGCTGAGACGCTCATACTTGCTTGTTACTACATTCCAACCGGCCACAATAAGAGACCGGCTATTATTCACCTCCGCTGAGACCGGCCATTATTCACCTCCGCTGACTCCGACACCAGCCAAAATTGGAGACCTGGCCTTTGATTGAATACCGGCCTGTATTGGAGGATTTACGGTATTCCACTCAGAAGTAACATTTTGTCTGTTGTTAGATTTTCCAGAGTTAAGTGAGAAAAAGAATTTTGTAGCTAACAAGCTCATTCACCTGATCTGGAAGCAGTAGGTTTTGCTCTAGCTTAGCATAAAACAATGTAAGTTTTATGCTTTATAGGCTCACAGTGTGTTGGGGTCCTTCGGGTCTTTTATTAAGTCTAGTAGTGGCAGCAGTTGGCCACACAGGTGCCTGATTTATTTTAATTAATTTGTTTATTTATTCATTTTTATCACCTTTTAAAAATAATTTTGGCCGATGGCCAATATAAAAAGTGTTGAATATATCGGTTGGTGTCTAGTTGCAAAACAGTAAATTATTGTGTCATCAGCGTAAAAGTGCAAATTAGCATCCGACACATTTTGTCCTATGTCATTAATATACATAATGAACAAGAAGGGTCCCAAAACTGAACCCTGTGGTACTCCCGTGTGGACACTAAAAATTCAGAGGACAACCCATCACATTTAACGCATTGTAATGTAAAATAATGTAGGTAATACATCTTTTTTTTTTTTTGCTAAGCCTGCCCTCCCCCATCCCATAGAGCATAATGCAAATTAGATTGAGCACAGCTCATCCTTAGCCAATAGCTTTAGACCTCAGCTTTCATACAGATGTCAATCACTGAGCGTGTGTGCACATTTGCATATGTGCCTAGAGCTGATGACATTTCTCCTGGAAAAGTAACTGAACAAGGTTATGTTTCTTTTTAACTTTGTTAATGTCCTTCTTGCTCTTCAGGAACATCTCAGGAACCAGTGAGCAGGTGCATCAGGCAATGACGTCTCTCAAAACGACAGGCTTCATCAACTACTTTGGAATGCAGCGGTTCGGCACCACGGCGGTGCCCACGCAGCACGTTGGCAGGTGAAACACTTTCACACACAGTGGCATGGCGGCTTAAATCGCACCACTGCATCATTTTCACTCAATCGTTTGTTGGCTGCTTCAGGGCTATTCTGAGAAACGACTGGAATGAAGTGGTGGATTTGATTTTGAAGCCTCGTCCTGGAGGTAATCCTTTCTGCCTTTCTCTGTGTGTGAGGCCAGTGAATTTTGCATGAACCTTTCTTTTGTGCTGGTGGGTTTCCGCAGCAGAGAAAGAGTTTCTGGTCCGCTGCCGGGAGGAGTGGGCCAAGTCTCAGGACCCAGAGGCTGCACTGAAAAAGCTGCCTAACAAACGCTGTGTGGAGGGACAGCTGCTGCGTGGCCTGTCCATGTATGGCAAGAAAAACATCGTCACTGCCTTTGGACTGGTGGGTTTTCGGTCATTTCTTGTAGAAGCTGCTTTCACAGTCGAATAATGACTAAAACACAACATTAGAAATCTAAACACGTAACGTCTCATTAGCATTAATGTATATTTCTGTAATGATGCTGAAACAGCCGCTCTGTCAGAGATACCATTGTGCCACTAGAGCAGAAATGATGAGTTTGGATTTTCTGATCTGTTTCTGAAGATATTTTTTTCTTTTCCAGATCCCTCGAAACAGCCGGCTGATGTACATCCACAGCTACCAGAGCGTGGTGTGGAACACCATGGTGAGCCGCAGAATCGACTCCTTTGGCCTGAAGGCTGTGGAGGGAGATCTGGTCCTCAGAGGAAGTAATTCACCTTTTTTTTAATGATCAAAATACAGAAAAGGTTCCAACATTCCTTCTTACCTGAAAAAGCACTTGTATTTTTAAGTTCTTTACTACTGCACTTTTCTCCCTGGATGCTGATTCCTCACTTGTGTTTGAAGCTGCAGCCCACGTGCTGTCTGCAGAGGAGGCTGAGACTCACACCATCCATGACATTGTGATGCCACTTCCTGGGTTTGACGTCATCTATCCATCTCACCATAGTAAGACACGTCTTATCAGTTTTGCTTTTGTGCTAAATGTACTAAACAAGCTTTGCGATGTTTTAAGATGGGTGTATAACACAACATACGATTGGATTGAAAGATTCTGAAAGGAAAAGACGCACAAAATAATTTAGAATCGACATTGAAATGAACTAAATCCGTAAACGATGACGTGGCTCTGAGTTTGTCTTGTTTCTGTTAGTCGGTGAAGGTTACAGAGAGATGCTGACAGCAGACGGGCTGGACATCGACAACATGAGACACAAAGTGAAGGACTACTCTCTAGCTGGAGCCTACAGACGTGTGGTCATCAGACCCACTGATGTCAGCTGGTCAGTAGAGCTTCATACATGTTCACGTGTTGTCTCATCTCCTCAGTGTGATGCTATAACGATGTGTCGGTCTTTCTTCCAGCTGGTGTTGAGCACTATGAAAGCCTTTGTCCTGAAACTGCTGTGTTTTTTTTTTTTTTTTTTGGTGCAGGGAGGTAATTCACTACGACGACCCCAGGATCTCTCTAGTACACACTGATTTTGAGAAGCTGGAGAACAAACCTGCTCCTGTTTTCATCAAAGGTAACTACTTTTAGATCTGCTTGGATCACAAGCCCATGAAGCGTGATTTACTCCGGGCAAGCTTTGTGATACAGTCGAGACCACACATATCAGAGGATTATTCAGGCTGCGGTAATAAGTGTGGTTGTTGTAGGAGACTTTCAGAGATGTACAAGTACGATCCATTATTTTAAACTGGCCCAAAGCGTAGACGGAGGGTAGATTGAAGCTGGTTTGTTGCAGGATATCGTTTTCTAGTGAATTTGAAAGAGGAGTTTGAGAGCTGACCCTGTTGACCTTTCATAAACATGGTCTGGTTATTTTTGGCAGATGGGAAGTATCGAGCTCTGAGGATGGAGTTCTCCCTTCCTCCTTCTACCTATGCCACCATGGCGATCAGAGAGGTCCTCAAGTTGGACACAAGCATTAAGAAACAGACGCAGCTCAACACCACCTGGTTGAACTGAGACCAGAACTGTCTAAAACAGGAACTGGAACGTCCTCTACGGCTGGCTGCTGTTATGGCTGTGGTAACGCGTGTATGACAAGTACAGTTGATTTATAAAATAATTTTAAGTTAATTTTGACATTTTTTGTGATGTTTTTTACTTTAAAACATTTTTGTGCTGCTGTGAGTCTGAATGTTTTCAGTGATTTAGGTAAAGACTTTTGCTTTCAGGGTGCTCGTTTACCCTGCTGCTAATTTATAGTGTGTTTTGTTTTATATCAAGCAGTGAAATATACATTTACATCATAACTCTTTCACTCACAGTCTGGTCATATTTGATTAAAAACAGATTTATTGTTTTATAATGTGGTAGTCTTTGTTATGATAACTATCTTGGATCGGCTCTGTGGTGGTGCGCTGTTTCCTCACAGCTAAAGGCTGCAGGTCTGAATCCTGCCTGCAACTTTCTGTGTGGTGATGGCATGTTCTCATGCACGTGTGGATTTTCACCAGGTATCCCGCTGTCCTTCCACAGGCCAAAGACGTGCATGTGTGTTAAAGCTGCTACAGCGATGGAAGGACTGCATAATGGATGGATGGTTGCACAAAACTATGCAGTTTGTTAAAAGATGCAAGTAGCAGTTTGCCTATTCACTGACATTAAAGCTGTTATAGCAAATCTGCAAACAAGCTAGGTTTTGAACTCAAACACCGTCACGGAAATCTCACCCCTCCACTCCGGTATCTTCTCTGAGACGCTTCTGCCAGAACCAGAAATCTGCGTTGTCAGAGTACACAAGATAGCGCTAAACACCAGTTGCTGTTTCCTAGATCCAAACATTGTTGTCCGTGACTTCAAATGGTGACTCTGGTAGTTTGTCCTAAAGTAGAAGTGGTAGCAGCCGACCGTTTCTCCTCTGATTTTAATGAGCGGCGAACCTCTCACGCCAGTGGTGTTCTGGTGCTAATTATGTCGGTGGTTATTGAGTGGAGGACCCAGGGAAATGCAGCGGTTCGGCGAGACCAACAAGCTAATATTCCAGTAGTTGCTTTCAGACCGAGCTGCGTTAATTCAGTTCAATTTAATTCAAGTTTATTTATATAGCGCCCAATCACGACAAGAGTCGTCTCAAGGCACTTCACATAATAAAACACTCCAACACAGGTCAGTTCATTAAGCCAATCAGAAAAAAGTTTCCTATATAAGGAACCCAGCAAATTGCTTCAAGTCACTGACTGGCACCGATTTAAGTTGTTGGTGGAGGTTTTTAAACAAATGTGAGAGAACCACTTTATTCATTTTTTAAAATCTCCTCATAATATGTATAGCTATTCTATGTTACAACGTTGTTAACAGGCATGGAAAACATGTTTAAAGCTAATTTGGTAATTGAGATTTAAAGGTGCATTATGTAGAAATGAAGTAAAAGTGAGTTACCAACTTGGACATGATTGAAACTGTTGCGTTTGCAGGAAATGTTTTGTTAATGATGAACAATATCAGGATAAATGTATTCAGATTTTAATAAACCTTTTCTGCACCATCATAGCCTTGTTTAAAGCTTTACATTTATGCATGCCAGCAGTAATAAGAACACCTTTCAGAAAAGTTATTCAGTGTGCCTCAAGTGTTGTGGGCTGGTGTATTATATAACAATGCTCAAATTAAGATCTAAAATAGTGTAACCTGTAATAAAACAGCATATTCCTATTAAACTCTTATTGAAGCTGCCACCTACACTCACCTAATGGATTATCAGGAACACCTGCTCAACTTCTCCTTAATGCAATTATCTAATCAACCAATCACATGGCAGTTGCTTCAATGCATTTAGGGGCGTGGTCCTGGTCAAGACAATCTCCTGAACTCCAAACTGAAGGTCAGAATGGGAAATAAATGTGATTTAAGCTATTTTGAGCGTGGCGTGGTTGTTGGTGCCAGACGGGCCAGTCTGAGGATTTCACAAGCAGCTCAGTTACTGGGATTTTCACCCACAACCATTTCTAGGGTTTACAAAGAATGGTGTGAAAAGGGAAAAACATCCAGTAGTGACAGTCCTGTGGGCCAAAATGCCTTGTTGATGCTAGAGGTCAGAGAATGGGCCGACTGATTCAAGCTGATAGAAGAGCAACTTTGACTGAAATAACCACTCGTTATAACTGAGGAATGCAGCAAAGCATCTGTGAAGCCAACACGCACAACCTTGAGGCAGATGGGCTACAACAGCAGAAGACCCCACCGGGTACCACTCATCTCCACTACAAACAGGAAAATTAGGCTACAATTTGCACCAGCTCACCAAAATTAGACAGTTGAAGACTGGAAAAATGTTGTCTGGTCTGATGAGTCTGGATTTCTGTTGAGATATTCAAATGGTAGAGTCAGAATTTGGCGTAAACAGAATGAGAACATGGATCCATCATGCCTAGATACCACTGTGCAGGCTGCTGTCTTGGTGTGGGGGATGTTTTCTTTGCACACTATAGCAGAGGTGTGCCCAAGCCACTGCTTTGCAAGTCACAAGTAAGTCACAAGTCTTTCCAATCAAATCTCGAGTCAAAGACAACCAAGTCCAAGTCGAGTCCAAAGTCAATGATGTGGAGGTCCAAGTCAAATCCAAGTTCTTAACTTTAAATTTTCAAGTCATAATCAACTTCAATTTAATGACGATGATAATAAATTCCAGAAATAAAGCTTCTTAAAGCTTCATTTATTTGCTCAAACAAGCAGAAAGTTCAACTGAACTTGATTATAAACAAAGTGCTGCTGCCAGAACCAAGAATGATTTATCATTTATGTCCATGCCGTGCCACTTTTGTGTTAAAATATCAAATGTGCTCAAGTCATAATCAAGTCAACAGATGCAAGTCGATTGAAGTCGCAAGTCATTGGTGTTCAAGTCATGAGTCTTTATAGATTTATCAAGTCAAGTCAGAAGTCATTAAAATAATGACTCGAGTCCGCACCTCTTCACTTCAGGTTCCTTAGTGCCAACTGGGCATCGTTCATATGCCACTGGCTACCTGAGCATTGTTTCTGACCGTGTCCATCGCTTCATGACCACCATGTATCCATCCTCTGATGTAGCCTGGCCTGCCAGACTCCTCTTCTGTTCAATTCTGCACAGAGGAAGAATTAAACAGAGGAGGAGTCTGGCAGGCCAGGCTACCTCTGATGGCTACTCCCAGCAGGATAATGCACCATGTCATAAAGCTCCAATCATTTCAAACTGGTTTCTTGAACGTGACAATGACACGTGACGTGACAATAGCCGCCACAGTCACCAGATTTCAACCCGATAGAGCATCTTTGGGACGTGGCCTTGCTGTTTTATATTTACGCCTGACCTAAAATAATTTAAATCAGCCAAAGAGAGAGGCTCCAAATATGAACTGAAACAGTCAAATAATGATCAAAACTGATTCTTCATAGGAGATTTTGTGACTCGCTGACCTGCTCAACACTTTGCTGTGATTGTCTGTGGTGAGAGGGTGAATAGCAGCAATGTAGCTGGACTCAGGAAATGTAAAACCGGTCTAATCTGTGTGCTGAACAAGAGGCCTACAGAAGCAGCTATCGTCCCCCATTACTGTAAAACCATCAGTTCACGTGGAATACGACGGATAAAGTTAGGTGAGAGAGCAGTCCGACGAAGCTCATGGAGTAGAAAAGCAAACAAATGCAAAACTAATAACACAGTAGTGCTGGTCTGGATGTAGTGTTTTTATTTCTGTTGCAGAATTGTGGTTTGTCGGAGTTTTCATATTTATGATTATAAAAGTAAAATATTTTTTTTATTTTAAATGAAAATAACCCATTTATCTCTTTTTAAGACATGTCCAGGTGATTGTTGGTACTGCCAGGAGGCACACAATTATCGTAGAAGATCTGGAAGTTGCTGTTGACGTAGGTTACCCTCTTCAGGAAATCCTCCAGCTGCTGCACCGACATTTTCTGAACTCTGTTGTTCTCCATGTCGTTGAGCCCGTGTGCTGCAAACGCCGGGAGCTTTGAGCGCTCCGAATAGGGAGCGTTGTGGTCGTAATCGATGCAGCAGTAGGCCGACCAGAGGTACGTGGGGACAGCCGAACGGTTCATGTTGTGGCGGCGAATAGTGTGAACTGAGGTGGTGACCCCGGTGACCACGAAGGCAGTCCCACGGCAGTAGTTGTTCAGCCTCTGGCGGATGGTGTGCTCGTAATCTTTCCATGGGCCGATGTTGAACTCTGACTCGGGGGACCACATTAGTCAGAGTGTAGGTGGCTGCTTTATCGTCTGGGTGTGCCTGGTGCTCGTCGGGATTCAGCTGACCACGTTCATAGATCACAGTGTTGGAGTAGTCATCAAGCACGGCCTGGGAGTCCTCAAAGCTCCTAGGAGCATTTACCGAATGGAGCGGCTCCATCTCTCTAGAACCGGACACTACGGAGAGCTTTGGGGAGAGACACGGTCACACTTTAAACCAAACACAAAACATCCTCTGTACAGTGAAAACTTGCTGCACTCCAACCATCCATACCTGTGACTCATACATCCAAGGTACATCGGCCTTCTTGGTTCCATCCGAGCGTTTGAAAGTGTACGCAGAGTAAACAGGAATGTGGGTGAAAGAATCATAAAGGGTGACAAATCGAGGCTTGCCTGCGTAGAACTGACTGATCTTCTTTAAGGGCTGCTCCTCAAGCCCTCTCGGTGGTGTCCCCATGTACAAGAACTGCTTACACTCTGGAGTGATGCTTCCCTGCACCTCTGCTCTTGCCAATGTGAAGATGAGAAGAACGATGACAGTTTGATCTGCTCTGAAGACCGACATGATGAAGCAGTAGAAAGTCTCCACGGTGTATGCAATCTCTTTGAAATGCTCCTTTTGGTCTCTGTGAGGACCTTTCGCTCCCTCAGTGCCATTTCAGGTAGAATATGCAAACTTCTTATCTTTGTCTCTGCTCACATGAGCCAGTCCTTCACCATGTTTAAACAGCGACTATGCAGGGAGGAGAGTCTGGGTAGCTGTGCAGCATCAGGGTGTGAATCTTCCTTCTGCGTTAAAATAAGAACTAATTATTTTCTCTGACAAAACTTCATACAATTTTCATTAAAACATCTCATGCATTGTTACATATTAATCATAAATCTAGTAGCTCGGCATATTTTTGTCTAGATTTGAGTAGTTTAGAGATGGAGTGTACAGGTGAAACTCGACAACTTACAATTTGGTTCAGTCCTCCAGTAACTCAACCTAAAGGGTGAAACTAATGTATGAGACACTCGTTCCATGCAAAGCCAGATATTACAGCCTTTATTTGTTTTAACTGTGATTATTATGGCTTACAGCTAAAGAACTCCCCCAATTCTAAACCTCGGACAATTAGAATATTGTGAAGAGGTTAAATATTCTAGACTCAAAGTGTCACACTCTAATCAGCTAATGAATCCTAAGCACCAAAGTGTTCCTGAGCCTTTAGACCAGGGGTGTCAAACTCATTTTAGCTCAGGGGCCACATTGAGGGAAATCTAGTCCCAAGTGGGCCGGACCGGTAAATTAAAAACAACTTCATATTGTTTTCTTTGTTTTAATACAATCAACATAAAACAAGGCTGGAGCCTGAGGACATTGTATCCAAAATAGTACAAGTACAACACCTGAAGTGTACTTGAAAATTTGGAAAAAAATAAAAAATCAATCAATAAAAAAAAACATTCCTTAGTGATTCAAAGAGCTTACAGATCACATGGCTAGATCAGTTTCATGCAGCACTTATAGTATATTTGACTCATACTTAACATCTTTTAGCTTTCACCAGCACATCAACATCAGAAGTCACATCCTGAGTGGCGGCCAACTTCAGGATGTGATTCAAGTTCTTGTGTGAGCCTTGAGCGCAGCTTTGTTTTATTTATACTCATTACAGAGAAAACTTGCTCACAAAGATAAGTTTTTTTTCACTCTACATTGTAAAGTATGAAAATAAAGTTTACACAACCATCTCGTGGGCTGGATTTAACCCGTTTGCGGGCCGGATCCGGCCCGCGGGCCGTATATTTGACACCCCTGCTTTAGATGGTCTCTCAGTCTAAGTTAAATTACTGACATGTAATTCTAATTGTTGGAGTTTTACCTGTATATGTGTTTGTGCAACAATATTTAACATCCCTTATTTGTTCATAACTTCTGAGCATTGTTAAAAACACATCTGTCCACCCATTTTCTTCCACTAACCAGAGGTCGGGTCACAAGGCCAGCAGCCTAGGCCCAGACTTCCCTCTCCCCAGCCACTTGGGCCAGCTCCTTAGGGGTAATTCCGAGGTGTTCAGGCTAGATGAGAGACATGGCCCCTCCGGCGTGTCCCGGGTCTCCCCTTGGGTCTCCTCCCGGTTGGACGTGTCTGGAAAACCTCACCAGGAAGGTGTCATCTAGTTATGATGCCTCCTAGTTAGGTGCTTAAGCCACCTCAACTGGCTCCTCTCGATGTGGAGGAGCAGCTAATCTACTCTGAGCCCCTCCTGGATGATTGAGCTTTTCACCTTGTCTCTAAGGGAGAGCCAAGCCACTCTGTGGGGAAAACTCACACTTGTATCTGCGATCTTGTTCTTGGCATCACTACCCAAAGCTCGTGACCAGAGTTGAGGGTCGGAACGTAGATTGACCGGTAAATCGAGAGCTTTGCCTGCCAGCTCAGCTCTCTCTTCACCCACAACAGACTGGTACAACACCTGTATCACTGCAGATGCAGCACCAATCTGCCTGTTGACCTCCCACCCCATCTTTCCCTCACTTGAGAACAAGATCCTTAGATACTTAGACTCCTCCACTTGAGACAGGACCTCATCCCTGACGTGGAGTAAGCCTTCTACAGTAAAAAAGAAAGCATCTTATATTTTCATTACCATGAGTATTGGTTTTGGTTTGGATTGGTCACTGGTGTTTTGGTCAAATTTTGAAAATCAAGTGAACCTCTCGTGCTACCAGGTGACAATTTAGCTTTTTATTTTGCAAATGTGTTCTTGGTTTTCATTTTTCACCCTAGAATGAAGTTTGATTCCCAAAAAAGAAGGGATATTTTCTCTGCCTTTCATTCCCTTGCTGTGAGTAAAGATGCTTCCATGGGAGAGAAACGACTGGAATGTTTCCCAGGAGCATCTGTTCCCATAATAACAGGTTGATTGCAGCATGACCCCTGTGGAAACAAGCACTTCCTGTTTGCTGTCCGAACATCTTCCCTGTTTACGATGTGACTCCACACTGACCCGAAGGTGCCCTGTCATCCACCGAGCCATCCATCTTCTGACTGGGTTTACACGTTACCCTGAGAGGAGGAGGGGGTTATTCTCGGGGCAAAACATAAAGACTTCATGTGTTTGAGACACTAAATTCATTATTTGGTACACGTTTATTATCAGTGAGAGAAGTTTACGAGGACTGTTGGCTGTACCTCCACAAAAGTACCAGTGAACATAGCTACTTACGAGATCATTTGCCCGTATTTGCTAATAGCAGTATCACATTTATATGGAAATCTGTGAAAACTCTCCAGGAATAAGTGTAACAATTGCTAAATATTGAATACTAAAATGTCCACACACAGTGTTTTAGTTAAAAGGAATTTGATTTCAAGATGCATCTCCCAAACTGAACTTGAGTAAAGATTTTAATCTGTGCTGCAAACCTTTAAGAATTAAACTGCTAATTAAAAATATGAACTCTAAAGAGAATTGTATTACAGATTTCGTATTTTTCTCATTTTAAGCTGCTTGATGCCCTCAGGATCTTGTGTAAAATGTTCTCTAAGAATGAACCAATAGAAAAGGACCTGTAGATTCAGCACTCAGAAAACTACAGGTTATTTTTAATTATTAGTAATTTACTTCAAAGTGACATTTGAGGTTAAAAATACAAATAATAAACCACGTTTATTCTTATTTTTTGTTGTCTGTGGTTTATTTTTGCCCACTTGAATTTATGGTTCATCGTTCCTGATTGAAGTCTCTTTTAAAACAAGCAGGCCCAGATTACACCTTCTGTTATTGGTTTTAAAAACGCAGTTTCTATGAAGCAGCCAAACAAAAGAATCTATTTTCATCAGAAAATGTGTTTCAGGTATTTTATTCTGAAGACGTGTGATTGTAAATGTCGGGGTTTGAGAATGTTTGTGTGCAGGTCGTTGGTTCTGTGCACACGTTGTGTTTGAATATGCAACAGACCGGGGACTGAGAGAGTTAGCACTTGTTTGCGTTTGCAGATCCATGTGTGTGTGTGTGTGTGCGTGCCCGCGTACGTGCTGGTAGGGGGTATTATTGTGTCTCAGGCGGTGTGTTTGCAGGGGGGGGGGGGTCACAGATCTTGTAGCTTTCTGCTGGGGTGGTCTGGTTAGAGAACAAGAAAGGGGAGTGCTCAGTAGTATTTATTCAGGCTAAAGGGGAAGAAGCGTCCTCCTCCATCAGCACATGACAGTGGAGAGGGAGTCAGGAACAGCAGAGCTCCGCTCTCTCAGGGAAAAGTGAAGTCACAGGTTGTTTTCATCCTCAGTGGTGATGATGTCCTGCATCTGTGGGGCACTGGCTTCTGTCCACACTCATGAAGTGGTCTGAGGTGAGTCTGACACTTAACAAAGCCAGGATGCAGTTTTTGATGCACATTGTCATAAAAACTTTTTTTCTTAAAAATAAATGTTGACATCAAAGTTATCTTTTGTGTGAATTTTCTGTTGAGTAGTTTTAAATGCAGGACATTTGTCACTAGAACTTTGTGTTGTTAAATGGGAAATTTGGAAAGTTTATATATGTATATATATGTATATATATACACACATATATATATATATATATATGTGTGTGTGTGTGTGTGTG